GAATCATGGGGACAGGGACCATCTAGTCTTTTGGGGTTCATTACTTCAATAGTCTAGTCATCAAAAGGAGGGATGCAGTTATTTCTTTGGAATGTTTTCATTCCTTCTGGGATGGTGGGAACAATACCTTACTATGTAGCACACATGGGCTTTCAGTTTGCTGTGAAGCTCAGGCTGGTTGCTACCTTAGCCTCTTGGGTATTGAAATTACAGGTATGTAGTACCAAACCTCGCTCAAAGAATTGCTTTAAAAAAAATAAATAAAAGAGATTGCTAAGTACCCAACTCTACAGAGTGATATCACCTAAAGGAAGAGAGCAATGAAATAGTAAGAAAGAATTCCTTAAGCTAGCAGTTTATATCACTCGGCAGATCTCAGGGTTCTGTTTTCCTAAAACATTTCTATATCCTGGAGGCCCCTGTGGATTTGTAACTTACACGACGGTGTAATAGGACAAAGAAAAATTCGAAACTACAAACTTTTCCTGTTGAAAACAATGAAAAAATGATATCGTTTCTTTTAGAAAATTTGTGATTTTCTTTTCCAAAGATATGAATTTTTGAAAGAGCTACATAAGGAAATCCAGGGATCTCCTTTCTCCTCAAAGACATGGGAACTATCTATTCGATGTAAGATTATTAGGATAGAGAGAGCCATTGTCTTGGTTATTGTTCTATTGCCGTGAAGAGCCACCATGACCACAGCAACTCTTTTTTTTTTTTGGTTTCTCGAGACAGGCTTTCTCTGTGTAGCTTTGCGCCTTTCCTGGGACTCACTTGGTAGCCCAGGCTGGCCTCGAACTCACAGAGATCCACCTGGCTCTGCCTCCTGAGTGCTGGGATTAAAGGCGTGCGCCACCACCGCCTGGTCAACAGCAACTCTTAAGAAGGAAAACGTTTCATTGAGGCTGGCTTATAGATTTAGAAATTTAGTTAATTTTAACCATGGACCAATGGATGAATTATGGAGGGAAGTATGGCAGTATTCAGGCAGACATAGTGCTGGAGAGGGAGCTAAGAGTTATACATCCATGTACATAGACGTCAGGAAGAGAAACACTGGGCCTAATTTGAGCATTTAAAATGCAAAAACCCACCCCAAGATGCACACTTTCTCCAACAAGGCCACACCTCCTAACCATGGTCAAATAACACCACTCTCTAATGACCAAGTATTCAAATATATAACCCCATTTGTGGTGATATTGTGTTCCCCAAAATGTTGTGCACCCTAATAAACTTATCTGGGGTCAGAGAACAGAACAGCCACTAGATATAGAGGCCAGAAAATGGTGGCACACACGCCTTTAATCCTAGCATTCCAGAGGCAGAGATCCGTCTGAGCAGCATTTCATCTGAGATCCATTTGGATGAGGACTCAGAGGCTTCCAGTCTGAGGAAACAGGATCAGCTGAGGAATTGGCAAGGTGAGGTGGCTGTGGCTTATTCTGCTTCTCTGATCTTCCAGCATTCACCCCAATACCTGGCTCCAGGTTTGTTCTTATTTAATAAGACCTGTTAAGATTCGTGCTACCCCCATGGGATGCCATTCCTATTCAAACCTACAGTCATTATACTAGTTCTTATGAGAAGCCTCAAATGGGTAGAAGCCTGACTCTCCTAGTACTTCCCTTTGTAAAGATAAGAGTGTATTGGATTTTCCTACTTAACTGACACAGATGATCTTTCTGGTTTAGGAATAAAAATTTTAATCATTTACATGATGCTGCTCCCTTGAGATGTAATTATTTTTATCCTGAAACCACAAAAGCAGTGGGTTCTATTTCCTTGGCCACATAAAAGACTCGGGATTCTTCATGTTGCTATACTGTTTTTAGGGGTTTGGCTTTGATGCACATCACATTCTAGTTTTAGTGGTTATTTAATATAAAATTATTCTCTTTCTCTTCTCTTTTTGTTGAGAGATTTTCTTGGTTGGGAAGAGATGCTGGTTTTAAGAACATTTCCCCAACAGGTGTTTTTGTGTTTACCTTGAGGAAAAAAACAGTTCAAGGTTAAAGCAACCCAACAGAAAAACATGTAAATAAAGCATGTCATAAAAACCATTACCAGCAAGGTTGACAGATAAAGAAACATAATTATATTTCTTGGCTTTGCAACAGTTGAAAATATAAATCATAAGTAGAAGGAGACCGAGAAAAAATGTTTAGTAGATAGGTGAGTACAGAGCAAACGTTATAAGAGAATTAATACTTCCACTCACCCAAATGAGGATAAATTGAAGAGATAATAGCTAGAACTCATAAATAAAGATGTCACAAAGATTCGTTAATTAGTGTGAGAAAATGAATTAGGGAACAGACAATGGACATGAGTGTGTGACTTCTGTAGGATGAATGGTTGGTGAATATTAATGCATGAAGAAGAGATAGGTATTGGTGGATATGGTTGTCTTTATAAATAAGGATATTTGTTTCAAAGTCCTTGAATATTTTATTTAGATAAATGAAAGGTTTAAAATCTCCTGATTCATAGAGGAAAACTATTTATGATTAAAGCTTTGACTTACAATTTTTTCCCCAGTGGAATGTCTCAAACGTTCTTTCAAATTTTCATGGACTTGCTGCACCCTCCTTTGCGTCTCTCTCATTTTACTTCTCCCAACAACTCATGAAAAGGATGCCCAGAAATTTATGAGTCTCAAATTGAATCATGCAGTTTAAAGACATAGGCTGGAGTGTCAATTTGTGAGATTTATGACTTTCTGAATTTGGAAGAGATACTAACATCATGTCTACGCTCTGCATGGTGCTAAACTAATCAGCTCTGAAGGGACAGATCCAGTCAGGTGGTTTCTGGAGTTATTGCCAAGTTGTTGTGTTCTTTTCTCTGTCTTGCATACTCATTTCCAATGCCTTCTAGCACTAATACAAAAGGCTTTGAAATTAAAATGAGTCTGGGTCAGTGACATGTCACAATTCAATATTGGCACACACATATACACCCCACTCCCATATACATATATTTTCTCACAGACTTCTGAGATTGAGAACCTTTTCTTAACCACAGTCATAGAAATAGGTAGAATCACTATAATTAATTTTTAATCTCAGAAGCACAAACCTAAGTTTGAAGACAAACTAAATAGTGGCAGTTATGTCATGGGAAGAATCAGGAGTTATCATCAACAGCAACAAAATACAGGCCCTGTTCTTTAGTAGTGTGAGCTAAATTTTGGCTCAGTGCATGACTTAAGAGTTATTTGTTTCATTTGACTATGCTATTCAAAAACCAGTTGGTAAGTTTCAGTAAAGCCCTCTGAAGAAAATAATATAATCATTCTTTCTTCATTGCTAAATAACCTTAAGCTAAAAGGATTTAAAAAAAAAGAAAATTAACCTACTCAAGTCATCAGTTGATTTGTCATCTGGATATCAGAAGCTTTGACATTAAACTAATAAAAGGAAGCAAGTTCATTAAGTTCTATGATCAGAGATAACAAACCTCAAGATACAGGACTCAGAGTCCTTTACCCATTTGTCCTGTGACCACACTGCTGTGTGCTTTTGTTCCCTCACCTTCTCTCTGGTCACAGAGTCATTGAGCACAGAGATCTGAGAGCAGCACCGATTAGCGGGGACACATGCAATCCCAGCAGTGGTTCCTGCTGTCCTCTCAGCTTTTCTATGAGTTAGAATTATATATACCTATATCTATATCTATCTATCTATCTATCTATCTATCTATCTATCTATCTATCTATCTATATATATATACACATACACACACATATATACACAAATATATGTAAGTATATGCCCAAAAGGAATACATATAGGAATACAAAATATATATTATATGTGATCATATATGTATATACATTCCCAAAAGTCATTTGGATGCAAGGACTAGATGACTGTGGGGTATATATTAATGAGCATAATAACAAAGACAACCTTCAAAAGAATACCTTGTCTTTTAATGTTTTAAGTTCTACTACCCATCCATTCTTTTTATATGTGTGTTGTAACAATGTAAGATTTATTGTCTCAGGAAATTCCACATATGCACAAAGTATTGTCAACTATTATTCCATGGCTATACATGAGGTCTCCAGAATTAACTGACCTTTCAGAAATGGTACTGTAGAACCTATCAGCATCTTCCCACTTCTCCCTTTCACCCGTACCTTCCAAACGCCATTGTTCTTTTTGTTTCTGAGTTTGTTTAAAATTTCACAGATGACAGAGGTCATTAATTCACCTTTCCCTGATCAGCATGTTGTTTAGCATAGTGTCCTATGGATTCTTCCATATTGTCACAAATGTCAGAATTTCTCTCCTTTTTAAGAAAAACTAAGATGCTAGAAAGTGCATATGTGTGTATATGCATGTGTTTGCATCACCATTGCTGTATTCACTCATGTGTCAATGGGCATTTAAGTTAATGCTATGTCTTGATGATCATGATCATCATCACTAATGTAGGGATGAGAGTAGAGACACTCTTTCACGTTTCCATCTGTAGAAGCCAGAGGAGTTCCTCGTTAGAGACCTTGATGCATACAAACCTGGATTCTTGGTTTTGCTAGAAAAAGAATTTCAGGATGAACTAAGGTAAACAGAATTTGAGTTTGTGTACTAAAAATTTCTTACATTGTGTGTGTGTGTGTGTGTGTATGTGTGTGTGTGCCAATGGACCCATAAGGTGGTCAGAAGGCAATTTGCAAGAATTTTTTTTTCCTTTCATCATATGAATCTTGGGTATCAAAATCAGCTCATGAATTTGTAGGGCAAGTGTGTTTAACCACTGAGCAATTTGGGTAGCCTGGTGGAGTCTATAAAAGGATTACCTTTGACAGAGATCTTAAGTACAGAGGCTAATACAAGGAAAGAAAGAATAAGACATAATATGTGCAGGTATTTGCTTCTCAAGGGAGAATTGTGTATATTGTCTTTGTAATTGTTCTATATACGATCCTTAGATTTTTAAGTTGCATTGTTTGAAGAATATAATTTGTGATGTTTTAAAGATTAAGCATACACAGATGATTTAAAAGCTGAACTCTTTCTGATGGAAAGTGTAGTGGAGAAAACAGAGAAATTCTGAGTAAGAAAAAAGGAACAAGAAGCAAAAAATGAATGATTAAGCAAAGCTTAAAATTAAGCAAATTTAAAAATCAAGTTAAATACATAGGCTGGTGTGCTCATTATTCTATCTTTTAGAAGCTTCTTTTGTAAATGAAATCATAAGGTGGTATTATGAGGCATGTTGTCTAGATTTAGAGATGAGCTAGATTGATAATATGGTAAAATTTTGTTATTGTTTTGGGGGTTTTGTTTTTCGAGACAGAGTTTCTCTGCGGAGCCCTGGCTGTCCTGGAACTTGCTCTGTAGACCAGGCTGGTCTTGAACTCAGAGATCCACTTGCCTCTTCCTCCTGAGTGCTGGGATTAAAGGTGTGTGCCACCACCACCTTGCTAGTGCTAAGGATTTTTAACTCCCTCTGCAGAAGGGCAAATTAGATTCTAAGGTGATGGATTTCTTTCCCATCTCCTAGCTCCTTAATTCTCTTTCTATTCTGCCTCAAATATCATCACTGTGAACCAAGGGATACAAATGTATCTCTCTGGCATACTGAGATTATTGGATCATATAGCGATTCTTTTTTTTTTAATTTTTAAATAATCTCCATACTACTTTCCACCACAGTTGTAACAATTCTTATTCCTACTGGTTTTGTGCATCAGTGTGATCAAAGAGTTTTTCTTTGATATTGTTGCCAACGTTTGTTATCTTTCTTTTTGGTAGTGACCATTCAAAAAGATGTGAGATCATATCTCCTTGTGACTTTTTATGGACATTCCCAGATGACCAGCAACTCTGATCACCTTTTCATAAACATCTTGGCCACTTGTTTAGAGTCTTTAGGAAAGTCTGCATTTCCATAAGCTTCTCAACAATTTTTAAATCAGGTTATTGGTTCTTCTGTTATTGAGTTGTACATATTCTTGATCTATATTTTTGATCAGATGGCTTGCATGCTAGATTTCTCTCCTTCAATCAGAGTGAAATTACCAGAAAAACAAGGATTTATATAATAAAACTTGAGATCAATTATTAAGTGTAGTTATTAGTTTGTTTTAAATACTTGACTCTGCTGTTTTTGTACACCATAGTTACATGGAACCATGAGATCCAGTTTTCTATTTTCCACAGTACTTTGCTTCAAAAGACTGATTCAGAATCTCTACTGTCACAATGAGGCAAGAAGTTAGGAGGGAAAGCCAAACTGAGAATGATGGGAAGCAGGAGGGAGGAATCAGGGGAGACACCAGCCAATCACCCAGGAAGCAAGACATGCTAGAGGACAGGTAAAGCCATGAGCCATGTGACAATCTATAGATTAATAGAAATGGATTAATTTAAATGTAAGAGTTAGCTAGTAACAAGCCTGAACTATTGGCTGAGCATTTATAATTAATATAGGCCTCTGTGTGGTAATTTGGGAAGCAGTTGCTGAGTATTTGGGAATAGGCAGTGGGGATAGGAAACTCCATCTACATTCCCTCTTACCCTCTGACTCTAGATTTTGTCAAGTTGGCAAGAATCTATCCAGAACACTATCCATGGTGGGAAAGCTTCTTCACACAAATCATGTTTTTTGACTGGCCCTTCCTAGTATTCTCAAGCTTTCATTTTATCACTTCAAATTTACAAGTAGAAAAACTAGCATTAAGAGAAAAGAAGTGGATACCTATATTTATAAGTACAAAAATATTTAAATAGAATTTTCTTTTTGAGTAGTATTACATTATTTGTTCAGTTTTCTCATAACTTTGGAGAACAATATAAGAATTACCAAACTTAACCTCAGTATTAATCTTTGATCTAAAGTAAGAAATTGCCTTGGGAAGGTTTTTCATCTTAGATCTAGGGAGGGTGCAGAACAGTGAGGCTAGGCATTGGTCTAACACCTTTTCTTCATGATGTACCTTTTTTTTTCTGAGAATGAAAAGTGCCTTGTGCAAATTCATATGTATATTTATTTTTAGTATGTATCTTTGAAAGCCAAGTTTTCCTATCTCCCTGTAATTTATCTCATCTTTCTTTTAATGCCTTGAATATGTGGGATAAAACAGAATCCCCACTCTCCCTCATCTACTCTTGTATGCTAATTAACAACTCAATGATCTCACTGAAATCCAAAAGTTTAAGACATTTAGGTAGGGACTCAATAACTAGTCTCTTGGCCAGAGTCACTGTTTCAGAAGTGTTTTTCTTTGGCATTAGCTCTTTGGCAAAATGGCTGCTGGAGATGTGAAGTGAGGCTTATGTGGCTTCATGGTGCTATCAGGACAAAGATGGTGGAATCAGTGATTGTGCTGTGGAGTGACTAGTTCTGCCTGTTCACCTAGCACTGATCAGCAGATGTTTAGAGACTATGCTGACACTGACTACTCTGTACCTGGTTTCAGCCTCTTATTGTCTATTGTACAGTTGCTACACATAGCCTTCTTTACAATATAAAGTTTATATCCAAGTCACTTTTGCTTCTTATATTCTACAGGATTGTACTTACAAGAATTTTGTTGATTCCCTTCCACAGTCTCTACAATTGAAGAAGAGAAAGAAAAGGTCACCAGGAAGGCAAGACGTGGAAGGAATTCCAGACTAGGTTCAAAAAAGAAGCTAATGGAAGACAGAAGGTAGTTTGCAAGGCAATAGAATTTTTAAGAATTTAAACTATTTCTGATGAAGGAGTAAATTTGGAATTGGAACAAAAGCAGTAAAAAGTCTTGGAGGAGATAGCACTGTTTATTACATTTGTTAACTTCTGATGTTATAACCTGACAATTCAGGATGGAAACTGTTTGACTTGAACAACATGAGATTTCAATCTTTATATTATAGTGGAATACAATATCAAATGACAGCTAGGATCTAAGACAAAAACTTCCATGCACTGAGGAATTTCAGGCTTTTAAGTGATTCAATTTACAGCATAGTGTTGAGAGGAAGACAGAATACTACCTTTTACATAACATTTAGGAAGAAAGGCTCCTGGGCTTTACCATGCCAAAAAAGATGTGATGGTGGAGTAAAACTATAAAAGTCATGTGATTTACACACAATCCACATGTTTAATAAATACATTTTATTAGAGTTGTATTTTCATTCCATACACTAAGTAGCTATTAAATGAGCAATGGCTTTAATTTATTAAATTAATAAAATCAATATGTTTATACCTTTTCGGGATACCTTTCAGAAAAAGCACTGTACACCACACTATACTCAGTGTACTACTTCACACCGTGAAAAATTCTGATATACCATGTCTCTTTCCATTGACAACAGTATTTCAAATCCCCTCTCTTTACATGCTCACACCCTCATCCACTCCGATTTACCCCTACCCGCTCTCGCTCTCCTCAGATGCAATTCAAGGTGGTAAGAGGCACAGCATCCCATCCCTCCGACCTTGATGAGATTTTCTATTGCTGAGGTGAATTGTTTTGAAGCGGGGCCTCCAGCAGTGCTGGAGAAATCAATGTGGGAGGGATTCTGAAATGCAAGCTCTGCTCTCTGCCCCTCCCAGGCAAACGGCAGAAGAAGGCTGTTCTAGGATTCTGGCTCTCCTTCCGAACTTTCTTACCTCCTATAATCTTCAATAATGTGACTCAGTTTAAACTGCTTTGCTTCTTATATGCTTGTCCATGACCTCCTAAAACCGGAGAGTAAGATACAAGCAGCTATGAAAGAAGCAAAATGGGGAAGAAAACTATGTGATACAAAGGCCCTTTCAGGAGGCCAGGGAGATGGCACATTTGGTAACGAGCTTGCCACAGAAGGGTGAGAACTAGACTTCAGATCCCCGGACCCCATAGAAAAAGCTGGTGGCTTGTCTGTAATCTCAGGGCATAGGAGGAGACAGAGAGTACTAGGATCAAACTTGCTTGTCACAGTAGCCCAGAACATGAGCTCCTGGTTGAGACAATTTTCTCAGTATATAAGCGGGAGGGTTGACAGAGGAGACACGGATGCCTTTTTTGGTCTTCCACACGTGAACACATCTGTACACGCATGTCTCCCTCAGATACTTGTACAAACCAACACACGAAAATCCTTAAATTTCATGTAACATTGTGTATTTGTCTCTCTGACATTGTGTAAAACAATAATATTGTTTACCTTAAAAGCCATCTTAATATTATTTCCCATTATAAAATGTGTGCATCCTTCTGTGTATAATGAAATAGTACACACGGTTTCCAATAAATACTTCAAGTTACTTTGTTTTATTCCATCCAGCACATAAGAAAATCTTTCTAGTAAAATAACAGATAATTCTTCTTTCAATATGAAGATGTCTTAAAAATATAATAAGCTGGTTGGTAAATTCTGATGTTATTATCTAGAGTTTAGCAGAGTATAGAGCCATGAAAGGACATCAGTCTTTATATCATGCAGATAATAAATGAGCAGAGTGATTTTTTTTTCTTCAGTGGCCTTTTTCTTTGCTTATGTAACCAGTTATCTGCACAGTCTTTGGAATAGCTAACATTAGGTGCCAAAGCTCGATGCATAGTTGAGTGGTCAAACAGGATTCTATCTATCACTTTTAAGGTATTTTTCAGTTACGATTACGAAGTTCCTTCAGTAGAGTGTGAATGAAGCCGAGTATCTCTGCCATTTGATTCATTCGATCTTCTCAAGGCTTTGAGAGCAATGGCTGATGGTTTTCAAAGAGAAACAAATTTGGCCTCAAGTCTGCTACATAGAAGCTACTAGATTCTCTACCTGCTGTTCCTACAGAATTTGGAGTCCCAGGCCATCACAGCCCAAGGCTCCGATCCCCTTATGTGAATCTTTCTCTGCTTATGTCCTACTGGTCTACTTCCCTGAAGGGCCTTGACAAACGCGGTTCTCAAAAGGAAAAAAAAAATCCCTTAAGACAAGAGAATAAATTTGTAAAGGTGATTTTTAAATTGGCATTTAAAAATGACATTTGAAAAGGCAATATTTGTTCACACTGGAAAGCATACAGCATGAGTGGGAGACAGGCTGAAGCACAGAATATGAATAGAAAGTGAAGCTGGGCTGTACACCCC